TGATTATTAATAATGATAATAACTATATTTTTACATATTAACTATAAAATAATTCATACTTATATATCCTCATCTACGATCAGAGACAGTAGAAGGGATTTATATTTGGCTTGCTTTTGGTTTGAAAAGTTGGTCATGATAGTTTAAATCTTGAGCATTATTAAGATCCTGCTCAGAAACTATTAGTCTATTAGCTTTCTCAATTCTAGCCTCAAGATAAGTAGAGTCAAAATCCTGTAAATTATGAAAGAATATATCATGCACAAAGTACACAATACTATACCAGATGCCTTTTGTAACTGTAAAATTACCATGGAGCAATAGACAGGATACAAATACCACTACTTGTCCTGGCTAAAGATGTACAACTATTTGAAGTTGAGGAAAACATAATTCACCTTCTTTGAAATCTCTCAGTGTAACTAAAACACACAGACTATTTGGTTCATCATGATCATCCCAATAATAGTCACTAATAGTATTAAAGTTAATGACTATCATTAAGAAAACTCCAAATGCTCTTGGAGCGAATGGGCCCCATGATAATTTACTCAATTTTGTATATAAATCCACATAATATTCTTGAAGAAACTGATTGATACTTTCTGATAATTTCCTAAGACCTCAAAGTAATTTACTAACATATTCATGATGATTAATATTATATATACTCACAGTATTAGAGCTTGTAAAGAGAAGTAAATTGTTTCTTGTATAATCTCCAAAATGCTCAATAAAATTGGTCCAAGATTCTTTACTTCGGTGTGAAGGATTTTCTAATAAATGGAAATAGTATCAATTTACAATATTAGATACAGTTGTAATAGCATCTGGATCATCGAGTTGCTTCAAGTGAATTAATATTCGGTGACCCAAGTCTGTAATACACTTAGGTTTAAAAATATGTTCAAGTTGAACTAGCTTATCTAGCAATTTGTTATTATTTCGTGCTGATACGATAAACTGTGTTTTTTCTTTTCGACTTTTACATATAGTAGTTATATCAAAGAAATTTTGCAACTCAACATAAGCATGCTGGAGTTTTTTCCATAATAGTTTGAGGTGTTCTTGCATATGCTTCCTTCTTAGTGGTCCTTTTGATCTCTTTAAACCTAACCACTACCCAAAAGCAATTCACAATCATTTGTTATTAGTATCAACGTTCAATAGTTCTTTAACATCATTCTTTTCCTTAATAATATCACTATAAACTAGAGATAAAAAATCTGGAGGAATTTCGGGTAAGTCAATAGAATTATTGCTAGTAGATGCCTCTCTCAGTAATGTTTCAATAAGTAAGTTTTTAGCCAATATATTATGTTGGGTCCTAATTTTTTTAGAAGATATTCTATCAGAAGGACAGAGAGAAACACTTCTCCATTCCCTTTCCAAGTAATAAATATTGTCAATAGCAGACAATTTTCAGGTGACAGATTAGATTCTATGCTAGTAAAATAAAATAATGGATATGAGCATTTTTTTTTTCTGAAAGATTGCAAGTTTTTGTAGAATGAATGAGTCCCCCTCACCATACCCGAGATGAATCAAAGATAATATCATCGATTACTGGAAGAATATCATCATTTGGGCTATGAAGCATCTCAGATTTCTGCTCGTGCCTAAGTTTTTTATTTTTATGTGTACAGGCCTGTCTCAACAATTTGGTTTTAGTAGATTCATCCTGTAATACAATCACTTCTTTCTTTCGTTTATTATTTAATGTTTGTATTGCAATTGCTGTTTTTGGTAAAAAAAAAAAAAAAAAAGAGATAAATATTTGTATTGCACGAAGTATAAGATTAGTGGGTTGAAAAACAAATAAGTTTGATTATATATTAAAAGAAAGCCCTCTTTATTGGAGAATTTATACAACAAATTATAATATGTTATATTCAGTATTGAATTTAAGTCAATCGCATATCGCTACAATAATTTAACACTTTATAAAACAATCACACGTTACTTTATTTGGTGTTATAATAATTTAATACAATAATTCTACACTAACAATTATATATTTACTATATTCAGTACTACAATTATTAAACATGCCAACAATTGCATATTTTTTATATTTGGGATTAGATCATTAATAACTTGTTGAGTAGGTATACTTATACGGGGTACGATAATAATTTTATATGCTTTATTAAGCCTGACTTACAAATTTAGAATAACCAGTATGCACTTTATTATAATAACAAACCATGTTGATCCAACATCTAGCATCACTTTTTTTTTTTTTACCAAAGTGCGATACGTGCTAAAAAAATAAAGTACATATGTATATGTCATACTATCATATGACTCAATGGTCCCACAGGTCTGCTTTTATTTTGGTCTAGGTTGAAGCTAAAATAGCGAAAATTTAATATTTATATTTATCAGATAAAAAGTTTACCGGCTTTAATAATCAATAGCCGGCATTAAATTTTATGCGGTATCACTCTCCTGCAGAATCATTTCTCATAGTCGATTTTTGTTAACAGCTACTAAACGAATAATAACTAGAAGCTTTATTATACATAATCTTATGATAAGAAAAGAGACGAATAGGGCTTAAAAGGGCTATAAGAGGGAAGAGTACAACGTTATTTATCAGTAGTTTTATCCAAATTCATATGTTACAGGAACTTCGAATCTCTGCAATCTCTGAGATCATTAACTTTTTTACATCACAGGAGAGATCGTCAATTATAAGAGAGCTAATTTAACCAGAAAAGCAACAAAATAGATTCAGTATTTGGAACTTATAACCGAATAGACTTGCTTTTCATGATGGGATCTAGATTGTGTTACTCTATTACAACTACTAATCATGTAACTTTTTTTTCTGGAAGATTTTTAGATCTAGTGAATAGTATAAAAATACAAGTTCTCACCTTAAGATAAGTTAGCAATAATGCTATTTTTTGCTTATATATATTTTTTACTTAATAACTTGCCCTTATTTTTAAAAGTAATATACCATTTAATAGAGACTAAGAAAATCAAATTTTATTTACTATATATTTTTTATTTAGGAACAAAAAATGAGCACTAATGATAACATCATTAAAAACAAAAAAAATAAGGCCCCCAGGACCAATAATACTACTACTCCCAGGACCAGTGATAGTAATGCCTCCAAGACTAATGATAATAATACCACCACCACTTCTACGACTAATGACAATGACCCCTCTAAGACCTATTATATTTTTCTAACACCACCCAATCCAAGACCTAGCCAAAGGACACCTAATTCACGTAATAATAAAAGAAACAAAAATAGTAAGCAAAATTCTACCTTTTTAGATATACTCGAAGTATACGAATACTTATGTAGTAGAATTTTATTTAAATCAGATAATTCGAATTATGGCATTTTACTAGACGATGAGGAATATGTTGAGAGAGGTAATTACGTGATACCAATTTCGGAGGCATCTTTAATAAGACATATAGAAAATGATGACTGGAGTGATATGAATCCTGATGAAGCCCAAGAAATGTTAAATCAAATATAGCCCCATTAATATAACCCATTAAGGGTGTCTCTTTGAGGCATTTATTTTTTTTTATAATAAAAATATATATTTGTATATTGTCATTCTGGCAAAAAAATATATTAAATAAAGAAGTAGGGGTTCACACTCTCACTAAATTTTATTTTTATACTATACAATTTTTTACAATATAACCCTTTTTTCTCATAAATTTGAAAAAGAAAAAAAGTGATCATTGTAGAGAATATATATTTATCTAATCTGTGACTTTGAGCAATAAAATTGTGAGAAGGCACTGGGATTCTAGCCATTTTCCCACCTTCGAGCAAATATTTGTGAGAAGGCACAATAAAAGTAATTGACTTTTCTAAAAAATTAATTTTCAAAAAAATATGTTTACCTATTTGAGTGGCTTCGAGTGATTTATCATAAGAAGGCACAAGTAATATATTTTTTACATTAATATGCGTAGATTGGACGATCTAATTTTCTATAAGTTTCGCTGGTATTTAAATTGTAGTAGTAACCTTCATTATCGTCAGAATACATTGCGCCTATATAATCATCAGTATTCTCATTATCATCAGAGGGATCCAAGTTAAAACCCGAATAATCAGAGATATTTGTCTGTGTAACAGTATCTGTATAATTAGATACAATCTCTTCAGTAGATATACTTACCTCAGTTTCAGTAGATATACTTACCTCAGTTTCAGTAGATATACTTATCTTAGCTCCTAGCTCATCTTGATTATTTTCTTGGGATAAATCTATTGCAAAGCAGGCTGTTAGACAATTCTTCGAATCATGACTCTTTGGGTCTAAAAGAATCGATTCAGTAGGTATACTTACCTCAGTTTCGAATAAGTCATCTGAAGAACTATCCTGATCATCGGTGAATTCTATATCAGGCTTTTTGGTAAAATGGTCTATAATCGTTTGAATCTGTTTATTGGTAAATTTTGAAATAGCATTCACACTATATGACTTAATATATTTTACTTTATCTAAGCCTATTTTTTCAAATAATCTGTAAATTTTTTTAGCTTTTTCAATTTTCTTATATAGTGATTTGCACTTAATGCCAGGATTTTGTATAATAATAAAATTATAAACTTGATCTTTAGCTTTTTTCATACTCACTTTATCCCGAACCATGAGTTCATCAAGACTTTTGTCAAGTACTATAATAAAATTACTCCAGTATAAAATTTCAGCCTAATTAGCTTTTATTGATTCATATTCCGCATCACATGCTTTTTCATATAAGTGGGCAATATTTTGGAAGATGCTTGATTTTACCTGACCTGAGGTCAGCAAAATTTCAGTCACATATTTCAGAGATATGGAGTTATGAACTTGGGTAGATGGGAATATATCATCCTGGCTATCACCTGCAGATATTTCCTGAATTAAGCCTTGTTCTTTCTTTTGCTTGTAAGGAATAGTGGATGCAATATTTTGGGAATTTGAAGGTATCTCTTGAGAAATTGCTTCACATTGAAGTTTCTTTTCCCTATTGCGTTGCCTTATTTCATTAGCAACATTTTCTTTATGTATTATTTCTACGAATTCAAGGGTACTAGCCAAATCATCATCAACAGATGTTACAAGCTCTGTTGGAGATTCAAATAAATATTTAAACTCACCTTTCTGAAGCTAGGTGAAATCAGTAATAATAGATTTCTTATCTTTTGTAGAAGATGCATTTTGGTCATTAATAGTGACTAGAGTCTGTATCTGTTCCAATTTCATGACTCTATCTTTCAGCTTGGTATTCTCAGCAGTAAGTTTGATAGTATCTGTTTGGTGTTTCTTTTCTAGTTCTTCAAATCGGATCTTGAGCACTGCATTTTCTTCTATAATCTGCTTTAATTTTATATTCTCAGCCTCAATTTCAGCACATTTCTTTTTAAGTTCAGGTATTTCTGCACTCTCCTTCCTAAGTTTATCAATCTCGGCTACAAGCTTATAATTCAATTCTCTCAACAAGTCATCTTTAGATTGTATGTTTGCCATTTTTAATATAAAATACAGATATATTCAATTCTTTTATCATGGAGATGTATATTTTCATCGAAACATAATCAGAGATACCGATACATGCTACGTAAATACAAAAAATAAATCCAAAACACATGACTGCATAAAAAAATTCTCAATCATATATACATCAATAACAATATAATAAATAAATTCACGAAATACACATGCAAAAATAAACACGATTATGTATATGAAATCAGCCACCAGGGCCAGCTTTATTGATATGATAAGTAAAAAATAAACTGTATAAATTCTATCTCAATCATTGCTAAAAACACTGTAAATTTTATTATTTATCGACTTGCTAATATCAATGCTATTAAAAATAACTCTCAATCATAAGAGCCTGGAGAATATACTTTATCAAATAATAAATATGTACATTAAGATTACTCGACTAATTTCTACCCTCAAAATAAATTCTATAATAAATCGAAAATTAAAATTTTTGGCCGAATTCATAATCAATGGAACAGGTAATAAATATTTTAATTCTCATAAATAAAACCAAGAGAAATAGGTATTCAATATTCCCAAAATGTATAAATATGATTAACCTGAGGATTCTTTTATTATTAGATCATTAAAAAAATTATATTAGATACATACACAGCTTGTTATACTGATTTTTCCTACTTTATTATCAAATACTATGCTAACTAATTATTCGGACCCCATACCCAAATATTTAGTTTTCAACGATTTTAACTAATAAATGTCATGCTTCTGATCCAGTTTCTTTCTATATTCAGCCCCTGGTGGCTAATTAATATTTTTATAGTTCATGAAAGAAGGATAGCACTCGATTTCTTCTTTACCAGCCCAGTCAAAATCTATTAATATTTCTTGATACTGACCTTGAGATTTGTTAACCAAAATATTGGAATCACGAAGATCAGCAAACACAATATTTTCATCATGCAATTTGTAGATAGCTTCTTCAATATTCTCTAAAATCGGTTTATATTCATCATGACTAAGCAAGTCGCAATTATAAAGTGATACTGCCTTGATATAATTCATCACTACCATATAAAAACCATCTACCATCTCTTTGTTAATGTATAGTAGTTTGGGTGCCTTTTCAATTTCACCACACAGTTCATGTGCCCTTTGATTATATTGCCATGCGAATTTAACAATAATTTTTCATCCGTCTTTTGTTACAGCTTTACAAAGAAGCTTGTGATCTAAAAGTTTTCCTTCATATGTAAACTCTACAGTTGTATCTTGATACACGTATTGATTCGGGTAGGGAAAAAATTGCTGTAAATTTTGTCGATTTATAGGCATATCTAATGATAAATAATATTCCTTTAATCTATTTACTCCTAAATATAGAGCTTTGAAAAGTCATGCTACTTGCTCTGTGTGGGCTCGATTGTTTGTAGAAATGAGATGTATAAAGTCCGTCAAGGGATCTACAATCGGTTTCTCAACATATACTGCCCCTAAAATATACACGCATGGCCCAGCTAAACATAAGATAAAAGAAGGCCAGTTACACTATTTGAGTACTTTCCCATATGTCTGTTGAGTATAATATTTTGCAAAAGAAGCTCCAGCTTGGACAGTCAGATCACTGCTACCAGTACCAATTTCATTTTTAATCTTAACAAGAAAGTATAAAACACTTTTTGAAAAGACATGACACTTCAATACTCCATCATTTGAAGAATTATCTTCTAGATGAATTATTCTTAAATCCTTACCAAATAATTCACGAATTTTTTTTCTAAACACTATAGAACGATCAGCTTCACTGAGGTATATTTTTGCCATTTCATTAATGAACTCAAGGGTCCATTGATAATGCTTTCTCCCCATTTCTAGATCTTCATTACGGTAATCACGCAGCAACTGACTGAAAACGTTGTGGTAAATTTGTACTAGCGGACCAACACATTCTGGGGGACGGTGAATAAGTAACTGCTTGTCTTTAACGTGATGGTCAATAAGATTATTAAGAAGTGCGAAAGATGATAGGGGAAGATAGCTCCTAATCTTCTTTACGTTTTTTTGCTGTTCTGTAAAGGTTGGGAAAGGTTAGTCGATACAATAAAGGTTTTGCAGAAGCAGGCATGCTCTATACAGCTAACTTTCTTCATAATCATCCAGGTTGGAAAAATGTCGCTTAGTAGCCGATGAAGATCTACATTGCAAACGTTATTAGTTATATTGAAAGTGCTTAACCATAATAATTTGTATACTATGAACAGATTCTCTTACGAGGTTGCAAGCTTCTCTCTCTAAAGCACTGTTAGCTTTTCTTCCAATTCTTTTATCTTCTGATTTTTTGCATCCATATCTGTACAATAAGTGAGGCACAAGTTAATAAATGAAATTATTGCGGAGAAAGCAGTATAGGTTTGGAATATTCGAATGCAATCGTGGTACTACTAATGATATGCTACGTACTGTACTATATGTACTGTACTGTACATACTGTACGTACTGTATGCTAAAATTTTGACAGTCATTTTATAAGCTCTAAAGTTTAGGCCATAAAACTTATAAGTTCCTAAATATTCTGAACCTATTACGGAACATTCCGAAATTACGGCATAAAAAAACATTTACTATACGTACTATACGTACTGTATGAACTGTATGTACTGTACGCTAAAAAAATCTGAGTATCATATAAATGGCACATCACTAAGTATATGTTTGGAATATTTGAATGCAGTCATGGTACTACTTACCCTGGTCCTCGCCCTTGATTTTTTCAATCGCTTTTGAGATTTTTTCAGTTGGTCCTAGTTTTACATCAGCTTTCATTAATTTATCCACATTTAGTCTGAGGAAAGTTTCACCATCAACTTCTTGTTCATGAAGAATATTGAAATGCTTGTCTTCAAGTCCTATATTTTGGTTGTATAAAAAATTTATTAGACCCTCCATTGTCTTATATCCTTCAACTTCATTGATTGTAGGAAGTGAAATTGTTTTTCTAATAGAAGTAGACATATTCACGTATTTAGTTTTTGGATAGGACAAGAAACTTTTTTTAGCAAGAAATAGTCGTACATTCACCCTTTTATAGTTTATATAATCAGATTGTTGTACAACAGGTCACGTATTGTTACATGATAAAATGACAATACGATATTGTATTTTTTCTGTAGTATCAAGAAATAAATTAAATCAAAATTTTAATAATCACAAAATCGAGTTACAGTCCCTGCATGCAAAATTTTTATTTGAATTTGTTACCAAGTGCGCGGAAAAACAAAAAATTAAAACTATTATTTCTTGGGAGGTGTGACATTCAATGTCATAGTAAGATTACACAAATTTTGCATTATCAGTTATTTAATAATATAATAGATGAGTTAGGAACTACATATTGCTTCTTCTCTTAAAAAATTTCCATATCCACATCACCTATATATTCCATCCGCCACCCTTTTGTATGTTTTACAATATAGGTGTGAATGGTGATTGCATTCGTCATAGACCTTACACCCATACTTCCACCCTCTAAATATATGCCACTTTTTGATATAATTTTGTTTATCTATGAGTATGTTATTCAGATATTTTTTCATTGTTATACGTTAACAGAAAAAATATAACGTGGTCAATAATATGTGGCAATTGCATCCTCATCTACAAATAAATTCAGAACATATCGATATATGGCATAAGTTAATTGACCGACTTTGGTTTAAATACTAATTCCAGAAAAATAAAAAATGGCAATTTCTACTTGTCACAAATAAGTTATGCATAACGATAAGCCTTGCAAGGTAATACAGATAAATTTTATACATATGTGAAATAATTCTAACAAACACATGTCATTAAGCCCGATATGGGCAGATTTAAATATTTATTCAATGATCAGTCCACTTTGTACAGTAATGCGGTACAGTGTTTATTTTTTCTAGTTGCTGAGGCAGGACACCATGTCAGCAGAATGCAGTAATATAGTGCAGTAATATGTCATTTCTCTGAAATACTTCTATGTTGATTTCACCTATAATAATTTTCTGGATTAAAGATTACTTAGTTCTAATTGGCTTATTTCTATGATGTTTTTGGCTAGAAGAGATAACCTTTTTCTTTGTAATATAGATGCGTTTCTTTTGGGTTTTTTTAGATCAAGATCATACCAGTCTGAACCCATGGATTCTGAATCAGAACTGGATAAATTAGTCTCTATAGATAATTTCTTAAATATATCTATAAACTTTTCTAAATTTAGATCAGGTTTATCGATTTCTGTTTCAGAATGAGATAAGTTATTTTTACTAGAACTAGCTTTATTACTATTTTCTTCAATTAATAGGATACTTATACTATTAATTACAATTTTAGCATGGCAGATACAGGTTTTGGGAAAATATCCAAAGCTTATTTTTGCTTCACACATTCATAACCAATCCCATCCTAGCACTAAATTAAATGATGAATTTTTGCGAATTTGAAAATCTATTACTTCGGTACCATCTAAGCTTCGCCATTTTCCTTTATACCAAAATTGCAAATCTAAGCATTTTATTTCTTTGCCTATCAAATCATCACCAGATATACCTTCTAACCCATAATTTTCTTCAAGCTTATTATACAAGCACTTGCTAATAGTATTGAATTTAGATGTTGTATTGATTAATGCTTTTACTAGAATTTTTCCCTCTATGATTGTTTTTATGAAAACCATGTCAAATATTGCTAGAAGCAACTACACAGTAGCTATTTAATAATATATATTATAACCAGTGTTGGGCAAAGTAGTGGTTGACCAAAAATTTACTGGTCAAATTGGTTAAATAGTTGAATTGGTCAGATTGGACAAATCTATTATATAAATGTAATATACCATATTATCACAAATAACACACAGGGGTGAAATTACAATTTCTGGCCTAAATTAAACTTAATTCGGGCCAAACCTTGAAATAATGCCCATGGTCATTATTTTGCGGTAATACGGTATATATTATATAATAAAATTATATTTAAATATACTATTTGACCAATTTGACCAGCACAGATTCTTTGATCAGACTAGTCAAATTGGTCAAATTGGTCCGGTCTAATAGTCAAACTAGTCTGATCAAGCCAATACTAATTATAACTGAAAAAATAACTAAATTTAGATAATTAATTTTAGACAGATATATTATAAGTTAATAATTTCTAATATATAAATTCCTTATATATTATTTATTTCCTCTTCGCCAATTACTGAAAATAGTGAAACCCAAGATTCAGCAAAATATTATAAACACAATAGCAAACCCTGATATTTTTCGAAGAAATCGTACACCATGCAAGGCTAAAAGAAAAAAAAAAATATTAAGGGGCAAAGCCTTATTGCTTTGCAATAATGATACCACATCTGAGTCCTCATCCTCATCTTCATCTGGGTCTAGTTATGAATAATCTAATGATGAAGATTTTGCTATAAATATGGTGAAAGCAAAGAAGCGTGATTAGTTCTCATTGTTAAAAATTTCCCTATATAAATTGATATTATTCTCGACCTCACTATTTTCTTTTTTAGGTGCTGGAATATTTGGTCTGTCATTCATTACACCATAATGTTTAACTAATAAAGCATGACCTATTTTATATTTACATGCCAAATGCTATAAATATTGATGGCAGGAATCATTCCTACCTCTATATACTCTGGAAGTATGATTGGCATCTATTTTTCTTAACATATATAAGGTAATTTTATGGTGACTTAAAAATTGATTAAGAGGTGCAACATTAGTATTTCTATCCTTATCTTTTAACAAGAAGGGAAATTTATCTGGTATTAATCTCTGAATCCAGATAAGTAATTCTCTTGCTCATATTAGATTTTTTTTCATTGAAAGAAATGGCTGGAGTTCTTCTATCTCACCTTTATTTTTTGCATAATCAATACAGTACCAAGAATAGTCAGGATTATACCATGACTCACGACTTGGTTTGTATCAGTTAATATGAAGATTTTTCATATCTGCTGATCGCATACATAGCATTATCATTATGTCTATTAGATTTTGCATTGAAAGAGACATGGAAGTATTGCATTTGCTAAGTCTTTCCTAAACCTTTTCTAGATAAAAGAACTCAGGACAATCATAACTATTAATTCCACAAAGTATATGCTTTCTTGCTTGAATCTGATTTGCTTCTTCAGTAATAAAGGGTATTTTCGTTGCCTTAATGATGAGATAATCAGCTCCTAAGCTACGCAATTTTTTCTATAATAAATTAAGACAAGAATTTCCTGCAACAGTAGTGGGAGCAGAAGAAGCCAAGTTATATGCTATTCTATTTATTTTTTCAGGTGAGAAATTATTTTTTATAATATCTTGGGCAATAATTTTAATGGGATCTCTTTTATCAACATGTCTCTCAGAAGCTCGAATAGAAATAAGAGTATCAGCTTGGTTCTTACTTAATTCCAATTCTTGAAAGCATCTTTTGGCCTGATCTCTGACTTTTCAGGCCTGCTCTTTTGTCTTGCCATTTGAAAGTTTAGTAGCCAACTCTTTGATATAACTATTAAGCTGTAGTAAACTAGTTTGTAAAATCAATTTGAAGTGTTTTATAAATAATGTAGTAATTTTTGCCATAGTTAGTATATGTTGGTTATGTTTTATATAGACTACTTTTATCTGATATATACTATGGAGATTCTTTTTTCAAATCAAAATTAATTATGCTTTTTTTCTCCTATATCTAGAAAAAAAGAGTTTATATATACCTATAGGGTTATCGAATGTTAAGCTATATGATTATACTTCATGTATAGAATCAGATAAGTCAGATATATGATTCTTAAGCATAACAATTTTTGCATATAATTCAGTCTGTTTTTTTTTTGATGATAATATTCTCTTTTTTGATATTTACTCATATGATTCGAGCATACACCATATGTAGAATATGTTAATTTACTGCATTCTTTGCAAGAAATCCAAGTTGGTGAATTTCAATGAAGTTTATACCCTTCTGGACAATAGCAACCTCGATTGCAAACTTTGCCAGTTCTAAGAATATAAGGGCAATGACAGAGTTCCATAATTATTATAATAATAATTGTATAGAATAATTAATTTCATTTTAAAGTTTTTTTAGGTTAAGTATAATACTTTTAGTTTATAACTATATACTACATATACAAACAACGCATATATACAAATCAATAAAATGAGTTTGTCTAGTGAAGCAAAAAAACATTTTCATGAATCATTATAACAACAGTGCTTAAATCAAAAGTCAGCCGAATATAATAAAGCAAAACAGCTTTTTATAGATTTAACAGATCTTGATTATAAACCTGACCATAGAGAACATATATTTTATAAATACTAGCTTGCATCCAGGCCTGAAGGGGCGACCCTAAAAGGTCATGGCCATACTGATAAAAATGATACTGCACTTTTAGATATATATCAACCTGAAGAAATTTCTAATGAATATATAATTCAGGTAGCAGGGCAGGGTTTTACAGTTGTTGATCACCTATCCGAAGTTTATGGATTACTCGATACTCACGAGTGTATTGATAGAAATCTGCTTCTTCGTCTAGTTCTGGATATTGATGTGAGACAAAAGCTTGATCCCATGAATTCTAAACTTCTTTCCTTAGATGGAAGTAAAATTTCTCATGAAGATTTATTATCTAAAATCTTAATTGTCTGTGCCGATATTGTAAATTTAAATTTAAAATATCTTATAACTCTAAATACTTTTGTCTTAGCTAATTTGTCTAATGCTAATAAGTGCAGTTGGCATATTGTATATAATTATGCACGTTTTGTTGACTACAGAGACCTTAGAGGATTTGTGAAAAAAGTCGCTAATAGGGTTGAAAAGCCATATTCAGAGTTTATTGATATTGGTCTCTATAAATCTTGTTTTAGTCTTTGGCTTCTTGGATCGGCAAAGAAAGACAGAGTTAAACAACCTGCAGTTTCTTCAGTTAAAAAAGAGTATCGAGAGCTAGAAGATTATTTAGTTCAATCTAAATCTGATTGTTCTGAAATCTGGCCTCAAACTTTTTCAGAAAAAAAGCTGGCAAAAGAGAAATTTAAACCCATTGAGGATGATAATAATTGGTTAAAGGAGCTAATTTAGTTATTGCAAAATATGGGTAGCTCCAAATTAGAAAAATCGAGAAGAGATTTATAAACTTTCAAGCACAATCTATTAAAGAATATCCTATATGCAACGTTAAATATGAAAAAGACCAACTCTATAGATTTATTCATCAAAATAGGTGTTTCATACTTAAGTGTTATCATCAAAAACAATATAAGCCAGAATATAAAGGCCTTAACTTCGATAATGTATCAGATAAAGTCGAATCAGAAGTGAAACTCAAAAAGTAGAGATTAATTGAAAGATTGTTCAAAGTTGTAAAACATCCACGCCTACTCATAGAATTATCTAGAAATAATATTAATATTAAGAAAATGGAGAATGCCCTGGAAGCTTATCTAGATTTTATGAGTGAGGAACCTACTACAACCCTAATTCACTCACCCATCGCCAGCAAAAAAACAAAAACCTTAAGAGAGATTTTTTAGCTAAAAGTAAAGCAAATTTATCTTGTTTTATCTGGGTTTCATATTATAAAACTCTTAGTAATGAAGCTAAAAGTAAAATCAAAGTATTACAAAAATCTGGGCTTCATTTGTGCCATTATTGGGAAAATGAAGGTAATTTAGCTATATATGACTGAAATGTTATTATTGTTCAGGTCAAAAGTACACATTGTCTTAATTTCCATAGAGGTCATTCTCATAGTTATTTTAAATGAAATGAATGGTATTATGCGTCAAATAGCAAGTAAAATCCATGCACGAGAATCTGAAAATGCCATGCAGGATTTGTTAAAGTTGGCTGTTCACATGGTTGCCATAGATGCTTTTGCAAATAAGTTGACTTTAGCTTTCTTAAGACAATACCAGAGTAAAAGCATCCAAGTTTTTGATAATAAGTATCAGCCACGTAAAAGTGAGACTGTAAAAATCCTTTATGATTTAAATAAAAGTTCAGAAGCTATATGTAAAAGTCTTGAGATGCTTAAAGAAAGTAAGCATGTTGTCTTTTCAATAACCTCTTGCAAAAAGGCTTAGGCAATAGCTAATCATGCATCTAAGTTGCAAAAACCGGATGGTTCATGTGTTTTATCACAAGTTTATTTTAGTCAAATGGATAGAAAACAACACCAGAATGACTTTGCTGATATTAATGCTACCTGGAGTGGCCTTGATTATGTAATCTATACAAGTACTGTAGAGTCAGGCATCTCGTTCGAAATTCCTAACTATTTTGATGCAGTTATAGCAATTAGTAATATTAATACAGAAGTATATGCTGAAGCATTTACTCAGACGCTTTATCGAACTTGTGATTGTATTGTTTCTCTTTACAATAGTAAAACACATTCTGAGATTTTTAAAGAATCAAATCATGTCCTTATTTATGCAGAACTTTTAGCCTTAAGACCTGAAGAATTACCAACTACAATAAAGAGGTGCCATGAATAAAATAAAATCGCTGACTATTATATACTTGATTCATCTTTGGCAGTAGAAATCTATATTGAGGTTGAATATCAGAGACACTTATCTACCAAATATTTTTCAGAAATTCTTTGTAGTTTGATTGCTAGTATTGGAGCATCGCTAGAATTAATTGCAGTAGAAG